GAAAATTTGCGCGCTCTCTCCGCCCACGGAAAACATTTTTATAAAATTACAACTGCCAGAGAATCTAAGTACAAAGCTACAGCTGCCTAAATAATCAATTTCGCCAAAAAATCTTGCCTTTGAAGCAGTAAATAAGAGCCAGTTTTTAGGAAATAATGCCTGTTATCTCGGTAACGGAAAAGACCTGACAAGAGATATTTTCGAGTTAGTCATGTCCTTATGCTAATAAGTAACTTGCAAAAAAGATTTTTCTTCAACTCGTCTGCAAAAAATCTCCAGCCAAATCTATTTCGACTTCATATGTATAGGCTTTGCTTTGCCATTGTGGTGAAGTGTCATGTTTAATGTGTCTGACCGCAGGGCAGTGGCTTCCGGTAACCGGTTCAAGATGAAAAGTCGTCTGAAAGTCGTTCTGGTCGATGTTCTTGTTTGCTGGGGGTTGAATCCATGTGGTATTATTCACCGATTATTGTCTTATGATCCTCACTCTCACGCAACAGACAAGTAGTCAATAGTTCACAAAATAATAAGACTGCGTATGTATGAATCCTATTAAGAGACGTCTCATATAGCTTAGAGCGTCGTCATAGTACAACAGCGGTATATGGTATGTTTTATCCAATGTTCAAATGCATCTCGTATAATATTGAGTGATTGTGCATGCGAAATTTGTGATGATGAATTGCGTTGTGCCTATCTCAAACGATTTTTGCTCCATTTAGAATTAGTTAACGCTAACAATGATGATGATAGAGGGCTATCTTTATTGCCACATCTTGGTGTATTCAATAATTCTATGGTTGGCTCATCAAGTGTACCAGTTTCTTTCAGACCAAATGTCTTTTGATAAGAATGCATCCAAAAAAGCACTTGCTCTAAGCCAAAGGGGAAGAGATCTGGATTTTCCATCTCAACCACTGAACACAAAAGTTTGAGAGGGGTCAAAAACTCTTATCTGGGTGTCCTCTATAGATATTATCTATTCACGAAGAATTGACAAAAAATCAATACTACATAATACTATCGATTCGGACTCACATTTATTATAACCAAGTTGAGTTAAATATTTGAGTGCTTCATCTTCTGTTCCAATTGGTATTAATGATACATGATGAATGAAGAATAAAAGTATGACTACTAAGAGATATAGCTGCATACTTGTGTGGTTAGGTTTCAAGCTGTTAGAAAAAAAAAAGATAATATTTGAATACAATCCCAGAAATATGGCTATTTATTGTTTTTCGGTTTTGACTGATCAAATCGTCATAGAACAGAAATATTGTTGTTACTCTTGCAGGTGTCACAATGTTTGGGAAATGCATTCGAAGAAATATTTCCCATATCTGTTTTGTTCTTTTCCTGTTTGTGATGAATGATATTTATCTAGGAAGGAAAAGTCCTCTTTTTTTGTTCTCTCTTTTCTTCTCTTGTAAAAGAAATAAAAGTCCGGAAAAAAGACCATCACATGTAATTGTACAAGGTGTCAAGAACAACAACAGTTTTAAATGAAATGAACTATTTTCCCATATATGACACACTAATGTTTGATATACGCCTATGTGAAATAGCCTGTCGCAGTTCTACTTTCATAGTGAAAAACTTATCCGTTGGTCTATAATGCTGGGATTGCAAATACATGTTTTCTAAAAATATCAAACAGAAAAAACATAGGAATACATTTTTTATAAATTATTTTGTTACCTGATAATTTTTCGGTAAGTTCAAGGGCACGGAAACATAACAAAACTCACATGGACCATTCGCCTTGTTTATGATGTCTTTCGTATGGAAATAAATAAATATAGCGCAATGAGCTTTTAATCTTCCGTCGAAGCATATATCGGCATGCTGTGGTTCGATAATTAAACGTTTCAAATCACTGAATGTTGATCAGTTACGAACATTATACGACCAGCATTTTATAATTAATTGCCATATACCATTTGGACATGTTGCAGATTATTTTAATCTTTCACCACTTTCGACTAGTTCTCGCACTTGATCGTCTGTTTCGATTTCCATGGTATAATTCCTTTTGAATATACTTCCCACATCAATATGCCCATGGGTAAAACATGAGATTTTTCTGTATAAGACTCTTTCACGGTAGGTTCTCGAAGAACTTCTGGGCTGTATAACTAACTACAATAATATTTATAGCTGTTCGTGCCCCGCGGCTTGTCCAGCTAACGGCCTCCATTTTTTGCTCTTTTCTGAAAAGTTATTGCAATAAAGCTACAAACTAATCTAAAATGGCAACTAGATGATTAAGTAGATTAAACATTTCTCTACAAAATGAAAAGTGTCTCGGCTCTGAACGCTGATTCGTTATGAAAATTCCTAAAATTGTTTTTGGGGTTATCTGAAAAGCGTATCTAAAAGAGTGAAGGCGAGCTAGTAAACATTGAACAAGTATACCAGCTTGTAGAAAATTGTTCGCTCTGTAAGATGTGATAGCTTGTCAAGTTCGAAACTATTCTAATTAATCTGTATTAATCAAAAAAAAAACAGAAAAACGGTAACGTTGTGACAAAAACGGTCAAAAGTGTCACAGCGTTAGCTGGACAAGCCGCCCGATAGCTGCAGATGTATAAATATTACTACTCGGACTAAAACCGAAATCTGTGAGTTTGACACGACAACGACGTGATTCCTTTTCATCAATTGTAAAAACTAGGATTTGACATGCTAAATCTCCATGTATAGCATGCTAAGAAATTAAAAATGAATGGCATCAGTATTTAAAAAGTATTCGATAAAGAACGTGCTCGTGAGATATTCGAGATTGATCTTGAAGATATTGATGTAACACTTGAGATTATCAGAATGATTTCAGAAACAATCCAACACACTGTTTATCTGGGAATATGATTGGCAGCCTCATATTTTGTTTCTTCCTACAGGGTTGATTGCCAAAGTCGTTACTGTTTGAAAGTCCACGAGGTTGAAATTGACGATTTTTCAATATCCTAGAATTTCAGTTCTTTAGTGCTTTTCGTAAAAGTTGAATATCTCAGCATCCAACGTTTTCAATATAACTTTGGTAAGGTGAGGGAAGTTTTATTGAGCAACTCAAAAACAATTTACGAGTACATTTTTTCTCAAAAACGTTTGGCTAATAACCAAAAAAGAAAAAAGAAAAAAAGCTTTAGCTTTTCTATTCGGATAAATTTTTTTATAAACCGAAAACGCTGTCAGCATCGGAACAACTTTTAGAGCCGCAGTTCTCGCAAAATTCATCAAAATGTTTGCTCTAAATAGGCCTGTAAGTTCGAAGAAAATCGGAAATGATCGACTGGACAGCATAATACGGTAGTACGTCATTTCTTATCTTTATTGGTTCTTTTTTCACCTTGTTGCTACATGTGGACACCCGATCGAGTTCAAATTTATACCGGCGATATAAGAGCAAAAAGAAAATCGACGTATTTTTGCTCAGAATTTTGTGATACGATCTTCTTTGGGTTTTCTGGAAAATTTTACTTTTCAATCAGTCGCATTATAACTCATCGAAAAAATGGTCCGAGAGTGTCGAAATTTACACCAACTCCAGATCCTATCTCAGGTTCTAAATTTTTTTCGAAAAATATGCTTTTCTTCTCGAGATATACGACAATACTGAAAATCATGCAAAAAGAATCAGTTTCTTTCAGTTATTTTAAGTGATTTTTAGTACTGAAAATTTCGACTCCATCGGATTTTTTTCAACTTCACATCCAAACTATTATCCATAATAATAGCTCTGGCAAAAGTTAAGGTAAAAAGATACGTTATTTCAAAAATAGAAGAAAGAAAAAGTGAAGACTAAATACATCATGCATTTCTTTCATTTTAAAAACGAACGGTGCGTGTCTATTTTGTGTTATTTACGAAAAATCGAATGTTTAGTTTTTACTCAAACATTTTAATGGAATGTAATGTGTTTAAAATAAAAATGATTCTTAAAATTCCTACTCGGACTAGACCGTAAGTGATCTATTCTTTTATCTGACATCACTTTACCTATCATCGGTTTATGAGCTTTTAGTAAACTGTACAACTGTTCATCATTTGACAGATTACGTTTAGAATAGTTTCTAACAGGATTAGCAGTATCTGGTACAGCTACATGACTATCACGACTTAAACTCAATTTTAGAATTGAAGGTGAAAATTTTCAATATGGATAGAAAGATAAATGTCATCTTTTTAAACATAATGGATGGATACTCTTGTCCGAGACGTTTCGTCAGTTTACTTCTGACATCATCAGCCAAATGAATAAGTTTAAACGGAAGAAAGTTTTTACAACAGAAAAATTTTTAGCGGAGAAAGAACCGGGGAATAGAAGACTAAAAAACATGTATGTATCTGTACAATAAGTGATACATCAAAATATTTTGAGAAGAAAACTCTTATGGCATACACATAATCCATTAGCAATCTTAACGTACCGTTTGGGTCAAAATATTGTTCAAAATTGACGTTGATCCAAAACTGTTTTTGCACATTTGGATAGTTAATACTGATCCTGAGCATCACAAAAACACCAGTTCCTGCACCACCAGTTGTCTTGAAAGACCATGGGAAAAGTGCTTGGGGATCTTCAACAGCGAAAATTGATTCTGTTTTGGAAATCGCTCAAAACATGTTCATAGATAGAGTTAATAGTCTAATCAAAATGGCATCGATCTCGGCTCCTAAAAATGTTCTTTTAAACGTTATAGGATTTTTACTATCTGGCTAGGATACAAGGAAAAAACCGAAGAATCCTAGTCTCCAAATTTATACTGATAAGGGAAGGTTTCCAAGTGTTACTCTCACTTTTCAGTGGGACATATCCTAGTTTGTAGAGCTCGACGAGCTGATTACGACGGCATAAAGCATTATCCACCATGGGTCTTGAAGAT